TCGTTGCCAACCTGGATGACCGCGTTCAATCTGTCAACATCGGGGCAGGCCTCAAGATGCTCCTCCACGCAACGCCGCACGAGCTCGGTGGCCAACCCTCTCCTCCTGTGCTCCGCTGCAACTGCCAACCCGCCCACGGTATGTGCGTCCAGATGGATCTGACACACGCCGACCACCTGCCCTCGAGCGTCGCGCGCGCACAGGGTCGGCATTGCTGACGCGATCGACTTCAGCAGGTACTCTGCGCGGCTCTGAGCCCCAGCAGGGGCGTCGAGTAGCGCCAGGGCAGGCCCGAGGTCTTCCGGGACGAGCCGACTGATGTGGACGCCAGGCTCCCACACGGGAGCCTCCTGGCGCGGTGGCAGGTCACTGCGGCCGAGTACGACGGTCCAGCATCTGTACTTAGGTCGGGCATGTCCTACTCAGGCGGATTTTGAAAGAACACATGAAACATAGTCACAACAAGTAGCCACAAATAGTCAAAAATAGTACAAAAATCGTCCCAATACTAATCCCACCAGCCCTTTGGGCGTGAGTGGTTTAGCGAGCTCTCTCTGTCCTCAACCCCCCTTCTTCCCCTTCGGGGAGGGGTTTACCCCTCCCCCTCCCCCCTCCCCCTGGGCCTGGAGAGGGGGTCCGGCGGGTCGTCAGGGGGGTCAATTTCGACTCCTGGGAGGGCTAAAAAACGACGACCCTCACGAGGATTCTGGCCCCGACGGGGGGACGGAGATAAGTCCCTCTCCTCTTCTGTGAAGCCAAAAACATTGATTTTACTAAGGTTTTGGCCCCATTTTGGACTTCTGAGGGGGCAGCGCTCATCGTCCTTCATAGCAAAATCATTGATTTTACTAAGGTTTTGGCCTCATTTTGTCCTTCTCAGGGGGTAGCTCTTCTTTGCGCTTCTGAGGAGGTCGCAAGAGGCCCCAAGATGGCCCCAAGAGGCCCCCAGGAGGCTCCCAAGAGGCCTCCAAGAGACCCCCCAGAGGCCCCCAAGCGGCCACAAGAGGCCCCCAAGAGGCCCCCAAGAGTCCCCCAAGAGGCCCCAAGAGGCCCCAAGAGGCCCCCAAGAGGCCCCCAAGAGGCCCCCAAGAGGCCCCCAAGAGGCCCCAAGAGGCTCCAAGAGGCCCCCAAGAGGCCCCACGAGGAGCCCGAACGACTCACACCAGGACGAGGGGCCCGAACGACTCACACCACGAAGAGCCCGAACGACTCACACCACAAGGAGGGGCCCGAACGACTCACACCAGGACGAGGCGCCCGAACGACTCACACCACGAGGAGCCCGAACGACTCACACCACGACGCGGGCCCCGAACGACTCACACTACTACCACTTCTACCTCTACAATTACTACTTCTACGCATGGTGGTACGGCCACTACTACTACCAGTACTACTACTACGACTACTACTATTCGACACCCCTCACGAGGATTCTGGCCCCGACGGGGGGGGGGAGAAAAGTGCTCGCCCCATCTGTGATCGATCGCCCGACAGATGGCCCCAAGATTCCTCCCAGACCCCTCCCAAAGAGTCCCAAGAGGCCCCAAGAGGCCTCCAAGAGGCCCCCAAGATGCCCCCAAGAGGCGCCCAAGAGGCCCCAAGAGGCTCCCCCGAGGCACCCAAGACGCTCCTGGAAGCCCCTGGAGCCGCCAAGAGGCCCCAAGACGCCCCAAACGGCCTCCAAGAGGCTCCCAAGAGGCCCGAAGAGGCTCCCCCAAGGCACCCAAGACGCTCCTAGAAGCCCCTGGGGCCGCCAAGAGGCCCCGAAGACGCCCCAAAAGGCCTCCAAGAGGCTCCCAAAACGACTCACACCACGACGAGGGCCCCGAACGACTCACACCACGAGGAGCCCGAACGAGTCACACCAGGAGGAGGGGCCCGAACGACTCACACGACGACGAGGGGCCCGAACAACTCACACCACGAGAAGCCCGAACGACTCACACCAGGACGAAGAGCCCGAACGACTCACATCACGAAGAGCCCGAACGATTCACACCAGGAAGAAGGGCCCGAACGACTCACACCAGGACAAGAAACCCCAAACGACTCAAACCACGAGGAGCGCTTTCTCTCCCTCCTCCTCCGCCTCGTCCTTCTCCCGCTCCCACCACAAGGAGGATGTACAAGGAGGCGGGAGGAAGGAGGAACAGGGGAGATATGCGGGGGCAGGCGGAAACACGCCTGAAAAACACGACTGTCGGCATGCTTCGCAAGAGTTGCTGTTTTGAGATGGGCTGGTGGGGATACGCGAAGCGTAAAGAATTTGTTACTATTCTTGAATATTCCTCCTGCAGAGGGACGTGCCCGACTTAAATCTGTACACCACCGCGTCCTCGCTCATACGCCACGCCTCCAGAACTGCCTGCAGCAAGGGTGCCGGGACCCTGCCGAGCACGGCGGGAACGCCGCCGTCCTCGTGCTCTGCGCGCGCCAAGAACGGGGCCACGCCCTCCCGGGAGCCGCCGTCGGGAGGGAGCTGGATGTGGCAAGGCAT